TAAGTGTTGCTCCCCAAAGTCAACGCATTTGCAAACATGGCAGACAATAAATAAGTATCTTCCACTTCTGTTTCAAAGACACCCACAGCCAGTCAGTCACCTCGTACACCTCTCTGAGGTAGGTATGATGTCCATTTTACAGATGGCAAATGGGGAGGAGCAGCTCCTTCTCCAAGGCGTCTCACCGCTTCAGTGGGAAAGCTGGGAACGCAATTGAGGATCAACAGTCTCCTGGTCTCACACCCAGACGGTATTTCATCTCAAGTAGTTATAACACAGTGTAATCTTCAAGTTCCTTTGAAGTGTCAGGTAATTTTTAGGTTTATAAGCATCAGTTTCTAGAGGGCTGGTTTTAATGGTGGGTTTTGTTGTTTTTTTTTTATCTTGTCTAATGATAGGCCAAAAGCACAGTGGGGTTTAACACTGGAAGCTAAGTGGCTTCCTACAGGAAACTCACAATAGTGCTAATGTGTATTTTAATACTGAATTAAAAAGAAACCTGGTCCATAGTGCTCTTGGTGATTTAAATATTCATGCTTCAACTCAGCCAAGCACCGATGTAATTATCTTCCTTCTTCAAGAAGACCCTCCTGTATTTTAAGGTCCAAGTGGAAGCTTCTGTTGAGATCTTCAGTGAAACGTGCTTTTTATAGAAAATAAGTCTTTGCTGCACCAGGGGTTTAGCCAGATGCTTTAATGAACAGAGGCCTTTAAAACCAGATCTTAGGTTCCACTTGGAAAGCGGGTTTATTTCTGCCTCAGTCCAAAGACGCACGTTCTTGCTCCCCGTTTGTAAAAGTGCAAGGAAGGCAACTCAAAAGAGAGTAACAGAGGAATAGCAGGCTTCAGAGTATTTTAAAATTCAATAAAACAAGTGTTACAGGCATTTCAAAGAAAAAAATAAAATCCCTTTCAGTAATATGCACCTTTTAAAAGACCTCAAAAGCACTTACTGTGAAGCCTCACAACCCTGCTGTGAGGTAAGAGATACCAAACCCATTTCAACTTCCCTCATTCTGAAGAGTAGAAGTAGGGCAGTTCATGTAGCTTATTTAGTTCTGAAAATTAAACTGCACCCTTCATTATCAGAATTAAAGTCTTGCTACTGAAGAGTCATCAGGTGACAAATCAAAACACATTAAGGCAGAATGCAGATGAAGAAACTTCAAGCTTCCCTTCTGGGTTACAGCTCTGTCCTTCTAAAAAGGGTAGAACTTTTTAGTGGG